GTATCAAAGAAAATTCTCACAAATTTTTCTTAATTCTAATTTAGCTAATTTAGTATTAAGGCTTTAATTTAAAAATTAAGCAGTATTAAGAAAAATTTTTACAAATTTTCTTATTAAAAAAAAGAACTTTTAAATTACTAATTAAACTTTAAAAACAATCTGTATGATTTAAATTTTAAAAAAATACTTCTGCTTTTTAATTTTTGCATTTCTATATTTAACCAATTAAAATTCAGCTGATCGCTGATCACATGCATTAATAACACGTTATTGTTTATTTTTTGTTTATTTTTTCAAAAATATTCTTTTCTCTTCTTTTTTTTTTAGAAAAAAAAAGATAATAAAAATGAATACCAAAATTATTTTAACATATAATAATAAAAATTAAATAAAAAACTTATTTTGATAATATATAATATATATATTTGTACCAAACTACTAATTATACAAATTAACAATTACTTTCACTAATATCTCAAATTATTTTAACATATAATAATAAAAATTAAATAAAAAACTTATTTTGATAATATATAATATATATATTTGTACCAAACTACTAATTATACAAATTAACAATTACTTTCACTAATATCTCTCTGGAATTGTAAGGCCACGCAAACTAATATTTTCGGTTCACGTAACATTGAAATTTAAAATTGACTTGGGGACCCGGGTTTTATTTTTTATTAATAAAAAATTTTTATTATAAGTCACGTGACCGATTAGTTTATAATTAGATGAATTTAAGGGGTTTCAAAGATAATCAAATTTTTTCTTCTGCATCATAAAAATAAAAATAAAGATAATCAATTTTTTTTCATTCCAGTTTGTTACTAAAAATGCCTATCATACATGTACAAATAAGTTACAACTCTGTAACTTTAAAGATTGGGAAGGTTTACTTGAAAAAGAGACAAAAATAAAGGATTTTTTTAATGATATATCAATTTCATGTTTGTCATCTAATTTCTGGGAGCAGATTTTGAAGTAAAATTTAGTTCATCGAAAACATTAGCTGGGAAAAAAGTTTCACCAAACTGTATTGCTTGGGAACACTGGTAAAAAAATGATTTATCCTACACATATCTTACACATATTGGATACTAAAAATGTAGAAAATCATACACAAATAATACACATATCATACACATATCAGGTACTAATATATATATCATACATATATCAGGTACCTGATAGGTATACTATATATATAAGTACCCGATATGTGTATGATATGTATATTATTTGTGTATGATTTTCTACATTTTGAGTACCCGATATATGTAAGATATGTGTAGGATATGTGTAGGATAGACCATTTTTTTACCAGTGGAAGCTATATGTCAATATGGAATTTACGCAAATTTTTATCTGGTATTGCAAGAAACAGTGATACATAGTAGGACTCCTATTATTAATGCTTTTGATATTTTAAATGCCAATTCAAGTAATCTATTTGTTCTAGAATTTGGCAATTCTCCAAGAAATGCATTAGAAAAGTTGCGACTTGATTTATCTAATTGGATTAAAAATAATGGTGGTGGATGGAAAGGAAGGGATGCTGCACAGAGTATTGGAAAAAAATTTGTAACTGATTTAACAAGTGCTTTATGGTACATTGATAGTAGATCTGTAGAAACTTTAAATCAAAAATTTAAAATTCCTGTAATCTTTGATGAATTTTTTGGAAGATCACAACCAGAAAGTTATAAAAGTGCAAGGCCAAAGTTTAATTCTGATGAATTAATTCAGCAAAACAAGAAAATACTTAATTATGTTAAATTAAGTTGGATGTTGCAAAATAGGTTTAATTGGCTAAAAGAATCATTATATAAATTTGGTGAAATTCTAGCTAAATACTCAGAATATTTAGATCATCAGCAAATTCGAAGTAAAGAAATCAAAAATTCATTAACTCCCATAGTTAATGAAATAGAAGTAGGATCAATTGAAATTTTTTCAGCAAATATTTGGCGTAATTAAACAAATATAAATAAATATTGCTCATTAACTAATGAATTGGTAAAAGCAGAATTTTGGAAACCACTTAATGTAAATGAATTTTGTCCTGAAGAAAGAATGAAAAGGCATAGATTTATTGAAGGATTAGATTCAGCTTTTTTATTTAAAGTTGGTGTATACAAATATTATCATGGGACAGCACAAAATGTAATATATATATGGCAGATTAATCTAGAAGCCAATGAAACAGAAATAATTAATAAAAATTATGAGGTTCGGACAAAATTGAAAGCTCAATTGCAAATATTTCATATACGGGCAATGAAAAAAGAATTAATTGAAAATTTTGAGTTACAAGTAGGAAAGTGTGAAAAAGCAAGGCTTCGACATATCATTTCTGATTTGCTTGGTGATTTTTCTGCATCTGAAAATTCAACTTCTCATAAAGTTGATGAAAGAGTTGATATAATGATTGAACTAGGTGATTCAGAATTTATTACAGATCTTAGACATCTTAACAGTGGTCCAACTAATTGTAAGTATGATACTTTTTGGAACTATGGGAAAAAATATTTTGAAAGTACCATAAATGAAACTGTATTAACTGTAGATGAAAGAAGACATGATATGATTCAGCATTTGGCACAAGTAATTTCAATACGAGATTTACGTCAACAAGTAGCAAATTTATGTCCACCAAATACAGAAATACCATCAGAACAATGGTTAAGACTTCAATTTTGGCCACGAAATCCAACTTATTTATCTAGTTTAAAGTATACTGAAATTTTAGATGCTAAATTTATGGTACAAAGTAGACAATTAAGAAATAATCACATTGATAATCATTATGCTTCTGCATTGTTTCAATACTTAAAAGAATTAGCCATTACTTTTAAAGATTATTCATGGTTAATTTTTATGGATGACAAGCATAGATGTAAAGTTGGAGAACCAGGTTACCCAGTTGCTGCTGTTGAAAGGGGAAAACAAGTAATAGTTTCATGCAGTAAGTCTTTTATTGTTAGTGACCATGACTTTACAAAATGTGAAATTATTCCTAGTGTTATAATGTTTTGTGATATACCAACATCTATTGAAGAATCATTTTATCAAGGAAAAGTTTATGCAAGGTTAAAAGATTCAATATTCCAACCATCTAATCCAATGAGACATAATACAGAATTATATAATTTACTTAAAAATGATGATATACAAAATCCATTTTTATTCATTTATACAGATGGTGGTCCAGACCATCGTGTTAATTATTTACAGGTTCAACTTTCTTTAATTTCATTATTCATGTCATTAGATTTGGATTTATTAGTAGCAGTACGTACACCTTCAGGACATTCTTGGAAAAACCCTGTTGAACGTATAATGTCCATTTTAAATTTAGGATTACAGTGTATTGGATTAATGAGAACAGAAATGGACAAGGAATTTGAAGAATTAATTAAATGTTGCAACTCAATGGAAGATATTCGAAATAAGGCTAAAGAAGAACCACATTTAAAAGAACAATTTTTAAATAGTTTATTTCCTACTATTGAATTGATGGAAAATTTAATCAAAAGACTTGAATTAAAAGAAGAACCATTTGAAACCTTTAAACCAGCTTCTGAAGAGGAAATGACTGTGCTATGGAATTCACTTCTTTTGATTGATGATTCTTTAACAATTGAAGATAATTCAAAAAAAAGTATTCAAAATAAATTTAAATTTCTGGAATTTTACAATCATTGTTGTAGGTCCCGACATTATTTTTTTGAAATTAAAAAATGTGGATATCAGATTGTCACATATGTAATCCTGTAAGATGTGATACTGAAACATGGCTTAAAATTCATAATTTTCCTGATCCAATTCCAACATTAGATGGTAAAAAATATAAAAGTTTTGAAGAATTATATGGCAAAGAAACTACAGAAGAATATAGACCTTCTTTAAAGGAGAAAAAAAAATCAAATGAAAATAATAATGAAATGGGTTTTAGACCTAGTGCATAGCACTGTAAAAATGTAGGTACACTAATTCAATGTGGTGAATGTGACAAATGGCATGTAAATGATGTAATCTATTCAAAATCAAAGTTATCTTCACATGAAAATGATGAGTTAACGAGATTTTTAGATGAAATTCAATATACATGTAGTGATACTTTTTATGATATATCTAGTTCTAAAGGTATAAATATACAAAGTCCTCATAGCACAGATGACTCCTTAAAAAAATTATTTTCTATTGTTAAAGTTAATAATACCTTAACATGTAATAGTCCTATAGAAATTCTATATTATTCAAGTAAATTATTTAAAGAATCACTTTGTTTTAACTGTGGGGCAGAATGTGAAGAGGAAAATAATTATGGAGAGTATTTTCCATATTGTGAAGATTGTAGTGCGTCAGTTAAAAATAAAAAGAGAAGGAGCAAGGAAAATAAATTTGTAAAGTCAAGTAGATGTAAAAATGTTTAAATTACTATTCATAATAAGATTTAACCAATAAAAATTACTTGAAATCACGTGAAAAAAAATTTTACATATAAAAATTTTTTGGTCAAATTTTGAAAAAGTGATCCGACCGGGTGAAGTGAACCGAAAATATAAGTTTGCATGGCCTAATGGTGAATTTTAATAATATTAATTAAACAACTATATGTACACCGTTTTATGTTTTTATTTTTATATTAATATTATATGTTAACATTTAACATATATTAATTATATTTTTTTTTTTACTTTTATGTATTTTATTTAATTTTTTAATATATTACTAATATTACTACTGGAACTCTTTCTGCTAAATGTCTGGACCATATTTTTTTGATAACAAAAATTTTATTTTTTTTATTTTTTCTTTACTTCGCTTATAGTTAATACTAGAAACTTCTAATGAGTCGAGTTGAGTCGAGTCACGAGTCAAAAACCTTAATTTTAAAGTACTTTTTATTAAGTTAGAATATAATTAAACGAAAATTTACAATTATGCGAGTCAAAATGCGAGTTTATGCGAGTCATTTTTGGAGCTCTAGTTAATACACTTTTATTTTATTTCATATACTTCAAGTAAATACTTGACAGCAAAAAACTCACCGTGGTTTATTTTAGTATTAGAAATTTTCTTTTGTTTTTTTTATTTTTTCCTATTTTTTACACGTTTTTCCTCTCTTTGTGGTGTTCCTGGACTAAAGACGGTCTGGAGAGGTGTATCACCCAGAATAAGCAAGATTGGGATAACAGCAAGATGTGGACAGTTTTAAGCTACCTTTTTTAAGCGGAATAATGAAACTTTGGACATGAAAAGAGCGACTAACGAACTCCTTAACAACAAAGACTTTGTGGATTTTTTCCACAACAACTTTCTATATACCAATAGGCCCTCCTTCTTCAAGATATTAGAACAAGCTATCAAGAAGCACTAGACGGTTCCACAACAACTCAGACACCATACAAGACTATCTCTGGAAGACTTTAACTAGCCTACTCGAACGATATGACCAATATACATCTTTACCTTCTTCTACACCTCTTTCAACACCTATTGTTTACAAATACCCGCCAGCTTTTCCTATTCGTCAAGTCACAAGACTTCTGATTAGGACGCCCTCAAATGAATTTTGGATTAGATCGCATCATAAACTAAATGCGTTTCTGGATATATTCCGCAATTTGCCAGCTCACCTACGAATAACAACAAATGACTCAGAAGAAAACTATTTTGGGAATACTTACGAAACGGATAACCACTTTCAGAATTTTACCAGCTTTTTCAGTGTAACGCTCGGTCTATCCTTTTACCGATATTGTGGAACTAACCAAATATGGTTTCTCTTTAATAAACAAACCTTGATAAAAGCTTTGGACTTCACCTTCAACTGTGCTTACACACCTCAAAGGAAGAAGAATAGAGACAAAACTTGGCTAGACGAATCCCAGACTCATTTTCTTTTTTCATTTTTTTCATTTTTTTTACTTTTTAGAATTAGTATTAGTTTTAGTTTTCATTTGAACAAATTTAATTTGGATAGAGCTTACTTGGGATGGTTGATTAGAGTTAATCTTAGTTGGCAGATAACAGTGTCCCAGAACCTATACCGTGATAATGGACATCTGATGTTAGAGTCCACCTTTATTACGACAAGCAACTTTCTATCAGTAAATGGGGCCTCACACTAGTCGAACTAAAGAATTGGAAATGTGTTGTTTTCACTACAGCTGGCCAGTCCTGGTTTAATCGTGCGTACCTTGAACCCTATGGCTTGGATAATAGATGCCACTCATTTTCAATTTCTTCGGGCCACTTTTGGGAGGAATGATCTGGAGGATATTTTTTATTTTTTACTTTCTCTTACTTACATTTAAAAGGTTTTTTTTTTTTTTTTTTTTTTT